TGGTGAACCAATATCTCAGGCTGTCAGAATTCTTGTGAGAATGTCCACGTCTAATCACTCTGATCCTCATCACCAAATCCTGACTTCAGTCACTTCCCACCTTCCCTCATGCATTAAATGCTTCTTTGTGGCCAGTGGGTTTGCTGCATTAAACAGGCACTACTTCATTAAATGAAGACTGGGTCCCTGCTATCACGTGATGATCTGACTTTAATATTTCCGACCGCGATTTTGTTCGGCCTCGGCCTCGGCCTGCGCTTGAGGCCGAGATGATCATGCCTTAGCATTTCTTCTTTTGTCTTTAGGAAGGCGAAGTACCCTGGCAAAACGCTGCGTTTCAGTTTTTACGAACAAGTGCCAGGGCCGAGAGAAGGGGCTCCTTCGGCCAGCTTATGGTCGTGATTTATCAGGCACAAACACTAGAGATGTTGTAGCAACGATGGAGAAGCGGCTTTCTAAGATGGAGAATGCCGTAATCGAGTTCGATCAGCGACTCGAGGAGGATGTCCTTACGAAGGAGGGCTTCAGAGCTGTGGTGGAAGAGCTTCAAGGCCAATTCCAAGGAGCCCTCAACTCCGCATTGGACAGCATCAGGCTAGATGTCCAAACCAAGTTGGATCACTTCTTAGCAGAGCTTACTGCGCTTCGCGATGAGGTGAAGGATGTGAAGGGAGATTGGGCATTGTGCAAGGAAGCTGTCTTGAACAAGACCCGAACTCCAAAGGAACCGAAGGTGCTAGATTCTTTCAAGTCCAAATCCTATGATGGGAAGAGGGAGGCAAAGGAGCTGGACACATTTTTGTGGAATATCGAAAGGTATTTCAAGTATCTCAAGCTCGAGGATGATGAGCCGAAGATTACTACAGCAACGTTGTTTCTCACCAACAATGCTCTTATGTGGTGGCGACATCGATCTATGGAGATTGACCAAGGAACGTTTACACTTGAGACTTGAGATGAGTTTAAGAAAGATATTATGTTGCATTTCTATCCAGAGAATGCCATGTATGAGGCAAAGGAGAAGCTGAGATGGCTAAAGCAAACAGGGAGTGTGAAGGATTATGTCGCCACCACTATGCCAAAAAAGGGCTTTAGCAACGGATAAAATCCGTTGCCTATTACACATAAATACCGTGGTATTGGTGACTGTTGCCTATTCCTATGTAATAGGCAACGGATATTATCCGTGGCCTTTTTAGAGTTACAGCATCAGATATTTGTTAAAATCCGATGCGTAAATTATTTCCGTGTGCCAAAAAAACGTTGACTTCTAATGCCTAAACCTAAAACAGCATCAGTGGTTTTAAAAGAGAGGAGGCTAAAGAGATATTACAGAATCAATGATATCTCCTATGCTGATGCATATTATCAATTACAACATCGCAAAACAAATAATGTTTTTGCGAATTATGTTATACGTCATCGCTTTTTCTATTTTGTGGACGTGAAAAGCATCCAATAACGCTGATTGTTATGTAAACACTGATGCTACTTCTAGTTTTAGGCATCAATAGTAATTTAAATAACATATATAAATAGTAATTTAAATATATTCATACTTGTCTATATATATAAGCAAAATACTTGAAAGATCCATACTTATCACACCCAAATCATAATTTTTCCAACCTCACACCACAAATTATCCGTACTCGTCTATAACGCAAAATACTAGCTAGAAACACATGAAAAATGGAGGAATGTTTAGTTCAATCAAAAAGCCATTGTAGGACATGAGTTGCCAATTCTTCTCGCACCTCATCCAATTCCATTTGGGTGTACGTGTCGTTTCGTCTAGCTCTATGTTATTACGAAGTGCTTTGAACAATGATATCTCCATCACACCTGTGTCAATATATAAACAAGTAAAAAATAGTCTCTTTGCAGAACAAAAGGAATAGAGACAAAGTCTTAAGAAGTAATGGAAAAGCAAACACAGAATATATTTCAAAATAATAACGACCATATTGCAAAAGCACAATATTGAAATTGTCTTCCTTGACATGTTCTGATGACTCTAAAAAAAGAACCAACAAGAAATAGCCTACAAAATCCACCGCGACTTTAAATAAATAATCAAAATTAAACAATATTATTAGTGTTAATTACATGCATAATTTTGAATTATAATTGTTAATTGGACTGGCAAAGCAGAAAAAGTAGAATCCTGGCAGGATCAAAATAAACAAGAATGGTGAAAAACCTTTCTGCAGCTTGTGGACTTTGAGTCTTCATTATCACTGATGGGATTCAGAGTCTCAAAACATATAACTCCTTCAATCCAAGCTTGCTAAGAGTTTTTGCCACATGGACCTTGTCCCCATTTGAGAAAATCTGTTTTCATATTGTTAAGCCAAAACATCATCAGAGAAATTAAATCTTGAAGCAAATTTTTTTAGTTACCATCAACTTATATGTAACTTGTAGCTTATGAGTTTTCGATTCGGCAGGCTCAGCAGCAGAGTCCTTAGGACATGGTCAAGTCTTAGTACCTCATAGGACAAAGGGTATCATCTAGATCTGCAACACAAATAGTTTTATGCTATCGTTGGTACTAATGAAAAGTGGCTAGCTAGGTAGCAGATGCAAAGAACAACACAGAAATAGTGCTGCAAGCAAGCCTGATGTACAGATTCCTGCCTGCTATTTGGCATTGAATCTTTCGAAGCTTTGCAAATCTACTAGACCTGAGCAGTGAACCTCCCATTTATCACATATACAACTTATCAATATTTTACATGAAACTACGCAGATTGAGTAAACAACAGAAGAATAAGAAGAACAAACAAAATAGAGACAAAGGAACAAACAAGTAAAAATAGTCTCTTTGCAGAACCAAAGGAATAGAGATAAAGTCTTAAGAAGTAATGGAAAAGCAAACACAGAATATATTTCAAAATAATAACGACCATATTGCATAAGCACAATAACAATAACTGATTTCCTATGAAGTTACATTCAAATGAGTTGACCTTTCTAAAAATTGGATTCAACTAAATTGGACTAGTACTAGAAAAGTCCATCTTAATGAAGAGGGTGAACTCGAACATTTATAATTCAAATCTAGGCCAACTGACAGATATTCTACTTGCATATATATACAATATTCTCCTATGAAGTTACATTCCCATGAAGGTTTCAACAAAATGAAATATTCTCCTTAATTAAAATACGTAATTATGTCATAAAATTCAGTGAGGGAAACTAATTACCATGATATATTCAACCCCTAGTTCAGGCTGGTCAAACTGCACAGACCAAAAAATTAAAACATAATAATTAAAAAAGTTATAAATGCAAAAGAGACAGGAAAACATGGTAAATTAGGATAGCTGACAATCTCAATTGCATAATCACCACGGATGGTTCCAGGGGCAGATTCTGCTGGGTTAGTGGCACCAATAATCTTTTGGCCAGTTAGGATAACATTCTTAACCTCCCAAATCATAGCAACAACGGGACCAGAAATAATATAATCAACCAATCCACTGAAAAAGGGCTTTGCAGAAAAGTCCTCATAGTGTTTCTCAGCAAAAGGACGATCCACATTGATGGACTTCAAACCTGAACAGATACCAGAAAAAAAAAAAAAAAACTTATTGAGAAAGAGAAAATCGTAGATCTGTCACCTCCCGATACCTGCATTAAAAGAAAGCATGAGATCCAGAAACATTAATACATAAATAAAATGAAAAAGGTAAGAGATTGAAGAAAGATGAAAACAATCCAGAAACATTAACACCAAATCAGAAACACCAAAACACCGAAAGCTTAGAGATTTTCATACATTAGATTAAAGCCCAGAGAGGCAGTGAGATCCAAAAGACAATGAGCCAGCCGAAGAGAGAAAAACACAGTAAGATTAGAGAAATTACTCAATAATTGAAACCCTAATTGAAATTTCCCAAAACATTGAAACCCTGACTTAAATAATCTCACACGACGACGCCGATGAGAAAGAGGATGCCACAAAAGAGGATGCCGACGCCGAAGGTTAAAACCCTAAGGAAGGGACTTCCATGGCTCTCTCTAGACGAGGAGGAAGGATGTCTATGGCTCTCCCTTTCTTCTAAGGTCTTAGGTTATTTTTGCTGTGGCCAAACTTCGAGTGTCTAGATGGAGGAAAGAGAAGAAGAAGATGGAGGAGATCCAAAAAAATTGTGAGTTTTATTTTTTTTTCAGGAGGTAGAAGCTGAAAAATGTCGAGCGAGTTTGGGAGGGATTGAAAAAAATGCGAGGGAGAGGAGCCAAGGTTGCGAGGGAGTCTGAAAAAAGGAGAGGGAGCGTGAAATTTTTTTGCTGGAGCGTTGACTATACTTTCAGCATCAGTGCTTCCCAAAAAAAAAGGCCCCCACTTTACAAAAAAAAAAACAGAAACACTTTAGGCATCAGTCATTAGAACAGGCGATGCTAAATTGACATCCAGGCATCGGTAACGAAAACAAAATATTTGTGCTGAAGTCTTTTTACCTTTTAGCATCTTAATTTATAAAAGCGATGCCAAATGTACTTAAAGCATCGATTTTCAATTTTCTGATGCCAATGTAGTGTTGCTAAAGCCAAATTTTGGCATAGTGCACGTTCACCAACCTGTTGTTCGAGGTGCCTAGCATGACAGATGAAGACAAGCTCATGTACTTCATGAGTGGCCTACAGAATTGGGCCAAGTTGGAGTTACAAAAGAGGCATGTCCAAACCTTGTCAGAGGCAATTGCTGCAGCCGAGTCTCTTGTGGAGTTCAAGAGGAATGATCAAGGCGACTCCAAGTTCAAAGGAAAGAAAGGTAGCAGTGGATCCGGTGGGGGAGACCACGAAGAGGGTAGCAAGGCTGGAGACAAGTTTGACAGTCACAAGTCATCTGGGAAGAAGAATGACAAAGGTGACAAGGGGAAAGACAAGTCGAAGCTAGCTTGCTACTTGTGCGATGGACCGCATATGATGCGGGATTGTCCGTAAAAGAAAGCCTTGAATGCCATGAACCAGGAGAAGGAAGAGGAGGCCGAAAGGGAAGCAAGAATGGGGGCCATTCACCGCTTCAATGCCCTACAGGCCAAAGTCGCTCAACCACAGGTTCAAGCAAAAGGGGTGATGTTTGTCGATGCCATGGTGGATGGCAAGACAACCGTTGTCTGGTGGATATGGGTGCCTCGCACAACTTTATGTCTATGCAGGAAGCAAAGAGACTTGGGTGTCGAGTCTCGAAGGAAGAAGGCAGTATGAAGATGGTGAATTCAACTGCCAAACCGATTGATGGAGTAGCTCGAGGTGTGGAGCTACACATTGGTACTTGGAAGGGAGTAGCTGACTTCTCCATGATCTCGATGGATGACTACGATGTCGTGCTAGGAATAGAGTTCATGGACGAGATAAAGGCATTTCCCATTCCATTTTACAATACCATGTGCATTGCACAGGGTGGAGCAATGCCATGCATGGTGCCAGTGGTGAGGCAACAAGGCAAGTCAAAACTCTTGTCAGCTATGCAAATTTCCAAGTCTTGGGAGAAGGGCAAACCGACGTTCCTTGCAACTATGAAGAGGGATTTAGTTGAGAAGGAAGTCCAACCAGTCCCAAAAGTGGTAGAAGCAGTCCTTAAGGAGTTTGCAGATAACATGCTCAAGGAGCTGCCCAACACCTTACCACCTAGGAGAGAGGTGGATCACGCCATTGAGGAGGAACCAGTGCAAAGACCTCCTAATCTTGACAAACCTTTTGAGGTACACACTGATGCATTAGATTTTGCTATTGGTGGTGTACTCATGCAGGATGGACACCCATTGGCTTTCAAGAGTCGAAAGCTCAATGACACCGAGCGGAGGCATACTGTTCAAGAGAGGGAAGATGTAGACTCGTTCGTGCGGACTTATCTTGTATGCCAACAAGAAAAGACCTTGCAGAAGCAGCCGAGGGGGTTGCTAGAGCCACTTCCTGTTCCAACCAGACGAGATTGGGCAAAGTTGCTATATGTTGCTCAGTTCTCATACAACTTGCAGCAATCGGAGTCGACAGGGTCAAATCCTTTTGAGTTGGCAACTGGATAACAACCTATGACACCGAACACAGTGGTGTCGGGCTACACGGGGAGTAGCCCAGCTGCATACAAGACAGCCTAGGATTGGCAGGTGACGAATGAGCTAGCTCGGGCTCAATTGGAGAAGGCAACTCGGAAGATGAAGAAATGGGCGGACAAGCATCGGCGAGATGTTGTATTCCAACCAAGTGACATGGTCTTCGTGAAACTCAACCCCTCTCAACACAAGTCCACTAGAAAGGTGCACAAGGCGTTGTTAGGGAGATATGAGGGCCCATTTCCTATCCTCCGAATCATGGGAAGAGCTGCTTACCATGTGGAACTACCGCCACGATTGAAGATTCATCCGGTGTTTCACGTGAGCAATCTCAAGCCCTACCATGCTGACCCCGAGGAGCCAAGTCGTGGGGAGTCTCAGCGAGCTCCACCTTTGATGGTGACTTCATTTGACAGGGAGGTCGAGTGCATCATGGCCAAGCGCGAGGTGCGGCGCAAAGGTGTACCGAGATACTTTGAGTACTTTGTCAAATGGAAGGGCCTGCCAAAGTCTAAAGGCAATTGGGAGAAAGAAGAGTCCTTGTGGCAGTACAAGGACAAGATCAAAGCATTCGATCGAGAAGGAACTACCTTGGCGACGAGGATGTCACCGGATTAGGTGGGGGAGAATGTCATGGCCCACATGTTCAAGGCCCAGCCCGTCGGATTGATCATGCTAGACCTCTTAGCCCACATGTCCAGATTCAATGTACAGTAGTAGGTAGACGTCGATTGGTGAGAGTGGTAGGTAGAGTCTCGGTTGGTGACATTGTATCTTAGCCATTTATTGTGGTGGTAGGTGGGATAGGAATAGTATATAAGGAGGACGTCACATTGTGTATCCTCACTTCACAACTTGTAAAGCATTTGAGTAGCAATACAAGCATACATTCTCCCAAACTCTCTTGAGCGTTCTTGAGTGTTCTTATCGTTCTTATTCTTGCTTCATGTCTTGCTTGATTCGATCTTAGATTGTGGGAAAGAAGGCTGACTTAGCTTGTTCGAGAGGCGATCAAGTCTAAGGCCGCACGGAAGGAAGACTTCGAAAAAGTCATCCCGTGATACTATGGTGGCTTCTAAGAAAATATAAGGTTATGAAGGATTTAATGAATAACGCATTTCCTTTCAACTTAAAACTCTACTGCCATTTAATATGATATTTAAATAGATTTTCTTTTCTATATCCTTCAAGGATATCCAACTCGGCAGCATATGAAACAGAACATTTAAAAGCAATAAATCGAACTATGAAAACATTGATTATTGAATAAAACTTATTCAAGATCAAATAATGAAATTAAATGGCGTAAATCATTTATAAAAAAAAAAGTCCACTCACTGCTGGTCCGTGCTAGCTAGACCTTTCGAAGGTCCCTCCTGCAGGTCAGTTTGTGCTCGGATGCTTGAATAACTATCATAATATTTTATTAAGAAATCTGCTCAATAATATAATATTAAATTAAAATCCTGACCCCGGCTCCTAAAAGTGCGTGCATTAACTTAAAGGAAATTCATATGCCCACAATAGCTTTTCCAAGGTTTAGAATGTGACTCGGGACTCAAAAATAATAAAATCCCAAAAGTCAACCTGGGACCCCGTGGGGTCGACGACCTCAAAATTTAGATCTGGAAGTTCCTAGAGGTTTGAATATATCTAAGACACATGTCCTGACCTAGATCAACATATATTAGTTGGGAGCTTTAGTAATATACCCAAAATAGGAGCTGAAATTATAAAAAAACAATACCTGAAATGCACTTTAGAAACATACCCAAAAACCATTTACTACATACAAAATGAGTGTTGAATTTCCTATAAATTACATGACTGCCACTAACTAACTTAAAAGAAGCTCAATACAAAAAACACAAAAAAAACCCAAAACAAGCCCAACCCAGATTTTTTTTTAATAACCCAAACTTAAGTATTAAAAAAAACACGAAAACCAAGGGCATGTCTCCACGACCCTTCCTTTTCCACCAAATCTTTGCGAACCATGTCGTAGACGTACATTGTTAATACCATGTCATAGAAGTACATTGTTAATACCATGTCATACAGGTACATTGTTAATACCATTTCATACAAAAAGAAAAAACATTGTTAATACCATTTCATACAAAAAAACATTGTTAATACCATTTCATACATAAAAACATTGTTAATATCATTTCATACAAAAAATATTGTTAATAACATTTCATATAAAAAACCCAAAAAAGCCCAGCAAGACATCTGATATCCGTTGCAGAAACCACCTCCAATTGTTTAA